TAACCAAAAAGTACGAAATTCTGGGCCACCGTGACACCGGCTATGCGTGTCTTATCAAGATGTGCCAGCAGAGAGCACTGCTGTCCAGCACTTGGGACTCCCAGGAGGGAAAAAACCAGCTTGGCCGCTCCAGAGGGAGTTTCCCGGCCCAGATTCCTCTGCCCTGGGGCTGGCAGTGCATACACTTGGGCAGTGAAAGAGGAGCTGAGCTGGGAGGCTCACAAGGATCTGAAGGTGCCAGAGGGGACATCTGAGGGGACTGAAGAGGATCTATCTGAGGCTGTGAGAAGCTGACTGTACTGGGAGGGAGAATGCCCCAATAAAGAGAGATGACACCCCCAATCTCTTCACCTACCTTGATTCAACAAGACAGCAAATGTACCAGGGTCTTTTTTAAAAAAAAAACCAGGGCTCCAATCTGGCCCAGTACTCTATGCTCTACCTCCAACATCTCATTGTATTCTGTGAGTAAATTCCCCATTTTATAGCTCAGAGGAGTAAGGCTCAGGGAGGTTAAGCAATTTCCCCAGAGCCACACAGCCAGTGAATACACCTGCTGTATGACTCCAGGACCCAGCTCTTAACTAGAGTGCTGCCTCTTGGCCAAGACTCAGAAAGTGGAGATGACTTTTTTCCAAAGCCCTTGCTTGTCCCCATCCCTGCCCTGGGCCATCTGCATAAATGTCCTAACTTCTGTGATTAATTTCCCCACCATCAATAAGATGGTATGAATATTTGCCAACCACACTCATATTCTTAGGGCTTCTGCAGCAGATGCCCCAGTAATCATGGGGAATGCCCTGGGATATCCTCTGTCCTGTCCTCCCTGACAGACTCCCCTGGACTGAGCTGGTTCTGTGCACATCTGAGAGCAGGAAAGCCTGGGCCACCTTGGGCTTTTCTTCTCAACTCCTGGACATCAGTGGACTGGTGCTGAGGACACGTGGAGGCTGGGCAGGTCAGGGGACCAGGTAGATCTAGAACGGATGGGTTTCTATGGGAGGAAAGGAAGAAGGGGTGGAAGGATCCAGAACAGCAGTTGTGACCACATCCCAAAGCCCCTGCTGAACACCTACTGGGGACCAACCTGCCAGCGATAGAGGGGGCTTGAGATGCTGACAGGAGGAGAGAAGTTTGTGTGGAAGATGTGTGGCCAAGCACTGCCATTGGTAGGTCTCCCCAGCATGCATTCTTCAAACATCAGATACAGGGTCCTGCAGGGGAGGCCAGGAAACTCTGGATGATCTGAAAAGAAGACGGGCCAGGAGGGACAGAAGAATGTGTTGAGGACACACTCAGAACCCTCAGGAGGGAGGTGACCTCTGGGTGGATCCTAAAGAGACAACCTGGGCTTTGACCCATGAAGGTAGTAGAGAAAGGCAGGCGGGCAGAGGGAAGAGCCTGAGCCAGCCAGGGACGGCGGGACACCCTGAGGAGCGTCCTGAGGAGGCTGAAGGCTTGGGGTCTGATGGCAGAAGATTTTAGCCAGCAAACTGACTGTAGGTGGTCTCAGTCTTCGTGCTGCTCCCTGTGAGGGGACAGAGGACCCGTCTTGCAGCCATCTGCGTCTCACCGAGACAAATCTCCCTGGCCCAGGCTGAGGAGGGCTTGGGCTCCTTGCAAATTAGCTTTTGTTCTCAGCAAGGACCTGGTCATCTTGTCCCCAAAAAGCGGAGGCCTGTGCTGGTCAAGCCTCTCAGAAGGGCTATGGTCTCCCACCCCACACCTGCCTCGGCAGTTCACTGTCATGCCAGGACACACATACCTGAATGCCCTCTTCATGAGGGTGGTGGCCAGGGGACAGGCAGGCAGGAACTAGGACCATCAGTACCTTCCACGCCCAGGGAGAGCACAGGTCTTCCCACTAGCTGTTCGTGGCCTTAAGGAGAGCCACAGGGTGTGATAAAACCCACAGCTCTGAACCCACCCAAATCCTACTGTTCTCTGCTCCAGGGTCCTGTGAATGTGGCAAAGAGCAAACTTCCCACTGTTGAGAGAGGAGAGATTTTAAAGAACTCCAAAGACATCTCAATTTTGTATAAAGCGCAAAGGAAAAATTTAAAAGAACAAAATCCCAAACCATATGGATTAGATTAGAAAAGAGAGATTTGCTAAGTGCCAAAAGCTGTGCCCAGGGAGGCGGCTCAGGGGAGCCAGCCCTAAATGAGGTACAAGACCCCTTGGGGCCCAGGCAGAAGGGAAGCCACCCACTGCCCCACGCCTGCAGCTCTCCTGTGACAACAGCCGGCTGCCTGTCCTCCTCAGGGTGACTGCCGGCCACAGCCCCACCTTCTCCCTCTGGCATGCCAGCCTCAGTGAACGAGCTCGCTCCTGCCGTGAGTCCCCAGAATTGGGCTCTGTATCTTGTATGACAGCATTTCGGTAGCCATGTCCAGGAGGACACTCACATTCGCCATTCATGCCCTTGTGAGGTCTCTCCACACTGAATGACAACTCATCGGTGTGATCAACAGAGTATGCCAAAGGTAACAAGCCGTGACTCTCGAGGCTAGGTGGGAATCAGCATTACAGCTCTGCCTTGGTCTCAGGGATCACTTGCTCTGGGGGAAGCCAGTCACCACGCTGGGAGGCCACGCCAGTGCCCAGCGGCGTGGCCCACAAGGGGAAGGACGGAGGTCTTCTCCCAAATCACCGGCACCAATTTGCCAGCCGTGGGAGTAAGCAAGCAGAGCCTCCGGCCCCCGTCCAGCCTTCAGATGACCGCAGTCCTGGCCAACACACTGACGGCAACTTCACGAGACACCCCAAGCCAGAGCCACCCAACCAAGCTACTGCCAGGTCCCTGACCCTCATAACTGGGAGAAAATATGCGTATGTCATTACTTTGAGCCACTAAGTTCTGAGATGACTTATTACAGAGAATTCAATATCTGATAGAAGTAATATAAGCATCATGTTAATGTTATGACCTAAACGTAACAGTCAAGGGCATGGGGTCTAGATGAGACACGTTCACAGCCAGGCTCTACTGTTTGCTGTGTTCTTCCCTCGGCCACTTAATCAACCTGCATCTTGACATTCTCATTTGTGAAATGGGAGCGTTAATCATACCTAAATGCAATCATTCTTCTTTAAAATTTTTTCAAAGATTTTTATTTGAGAGAGAGAGCACGAGCAGGGGAGGGACTGAGGGAGAAGCAGACTCCCGCTGAGCAAGGAACCCGACGCAGAGCTGGATCCCAGGAACCTGGGATCACGACCTGAGCCAAAGGCAGCCTCTTGATGGACCGAGCCACCCAGACACCCCTAAATGAAATCATTCTTAATTTGTCATCAATGCCCATGAGTGCTCAGCCCCATGGCTGGCACACAGCAAACACTGGAAGTTAGTTGGCGCTTATCCTTTTTATGGCCTCTGTGTCCTGACATGTGTTCGTGCATGTGTCTGTGTCGGCACAGAACTCCCAGATGATGCCACCGGGACCAACAAGCAGCAAGCCACCTGGTCTTCCACATAAGCCCATTCCTTCACCCGGGACCTCTCCTGCCCCAGATCCTTTCTGCGAACCCCTGGCTCCAGAAAACTCTCAGTCCTGAAACATGGGAGGTTCTCTTCAGCATGCGAGCCAGTCAGGCTCCTCCAGCTCCCTTGGGAGTGCTGGCAGGTGGCCCTGCTGAGGCTTGGGAGGCCACTCGCATGGGAAGAGGAAGCCACATGGCCGACCCAGCTTGGACTGCACAAGGAGAGAGTTCTAACACGCAGCCAGACACTTCCCAACCCAGTCCGTTTCTCTGAGGGCAGCGAGAGCCCAGGGATGCCAGCTGACTGGCTCCAGCCCTGTGGAGGATGAAAGGGGAAAGACCAGTCACCCCCTCCAAGAACAAAGCCAAGGAGCCTTCCAGCAAGGGCACCTAAATGTCTTCACCCTAATGTCAACCCAACCCAAAGGGAAGTCATACAAGTGCCTCAGAAAAAAAAAATTTTTTAAGTGCATTTTAAAAAAGAAATTCTTGGATGTGACTGAAGTTCAACGACTGATTTCTAGCATGTGTCCTGTCAACTTTGCCATCCTTGGGAAGACTGGGGAGCCGGTAAGGGTGTCCTCCTGGGTGGAGGAGGAACAGGAATCCAGCCAGCAGGGGTGTATGGGTCAGAGGGGAGGGGAAGTGACATGAGACCAGTGCCGCGGGACAGAGTGGTTGTGAACGTGGGTACCAAGAGACTGTTTCGAACAGGAGCCAAGGTTCGCAGTCCCAGGGGAGAGGGGGGCACGTGCTGTCATCATAAGCAGGTGCTTCAGCCTCAGGGCTATCCGCCATGCTGTGGGGTAAGCCTGGAGTTTGGGGTCAAGGCTGGGGCACCAGAAAACGTTATCCCCAGAGGTCAGGGAGGCCGGTCCTGACCTCCCCTGCTTGCTGCTCCAAAGCGCAGTGAGCCAGGCAAGGGAAGGGGTCCTGTGGGGGAAGGCAAGGTGGGATGGCCTCCAGGGAGCGTGACGGGTGGCAGCTGGCTTTTTCCTTGCTGTGTGAAGACTCACTGAGGAACGGTGTAAAAGGAAGGGTTTTAAGCACTCAGGGCCCGAGAACAGGCATGGGTATGAATCCCAGCTCCACTACTGGTGAGCTGTGTGAGCCCAGGCCTGCAGCCCACCCTCTCTGAGCCTGTTTCTTTAACTGGAGGATAGAGTTGACCCAGTGTCTATCCCTAACCCACAGCAAATACTCTATACATGGAAGCTGCACGTCTTTCTCCAAACTATCACATTAGGGCATCAATTCCAACCCTCGTAATGCGGTGACTTAGCTTTGGTCGGTAGCGCTCCATTGTTCGGTGGACCCTGTACTCTGCCCTGAGCCTGGAGCTCAGGCTAGAGGAGAGTCTAGTGGGGAGGTCTGAGTGCTGGGCTAGGCTGACATCCCCTTTGTGGAGCCGCTTTTGGGCTGCTGCACTCCATTTGTCATCAGGAAGTTTTTCTGGCTAGCAGACCCAAGGGAACCCCCCAGGCTGAGGGGTCACTTCCTGAGGTTGTGGCTGCAAGGGGGCACAGATTGAGCCTCTCAATTCCTTGGAGAGAAGGCAGCTCCCAGACCTGCTGAGTAGGACAGTGGTGTAGAGCTACACACTGGCAGGGCACGGGGTCCCCTTGTTTGCCCCCCCCCCCAAGTAGACTGAGGGGGATAGTAGGGCCTGCCTGCCTTTGGGCTCCTCCTGACCTCTCTGCGGGTCCCAGGCACTGAGGCAGGAGGTCCCAGGCCAGTTCGGGGAGCCTCACCCCCAGCCACCTTCACCCCTTGCTGAGCAGGTACAGGGGCCCATTCTTCGGGGGCTCCTGCTCCCTCACACTGTGGCAGCACCAGGCCTGGGCAGCTCCCCTGCGGGCTCCCGGCTCCCTGACAGAGAGGAAGGAGGCCCAGGGCTGGTATGCAGCTTCTCCTCAGGGGTTCTGTAGTATGGCACGAATCCCGAGGCACAAAGGCCGGGGCCCCTGAAGGCAGCATCACTGGAGAGAGGGACAGTCAGGCTGCTGTCATGAGAGTGACCTGCAGAGACCAGCAGGATGGGACAGCAGGGTGGTGTAGAGGAGGACCCGGGGAGGACGCCTGGGCTTGCCGAGACAACCTGTATGGGAAGGAGACAAGAGGGTGAGCCGGAGATTTTCCGCAGGTTCCGCTGGAAATCCAGGGCTGGCCTTGGGCCTGCAACCGCACAGCAGCGGTAGGGTTAGAAGGCTGGCCTGTTCTGTAGACCGGGTGACACTAAGCAGGGTCATCCGCCCTTCTGGGTCTCCTTGCAAGAAGGAGTGCATCCAGGATTAGAACCCACTCCTCCTGCCTGCTCTGTCTTTGCAGTCAAGGCATTGCACCCAGCTTTGTGGTGCTGCTAGTGGCTGGTAGTGACATGCCAGGGTGCAGGCTTGGGGTCAGATCCCAGGTTTGCTCTCGCTAGTAATGTCTTTGGCCAGTCATTTAACTTCTCCAAGGCTCATCCGTAAAATGGAAATAACAATCAGGCCTCTCTCATAGGACTATTACTAGGACAAGTGAGATGATGCACAGGAAGCATCTGTCTGGGTGCCAAGCAGGTCATGAGGACTAAGATGTTCCTGTCCAGGAACACAGGCTAAGCCTGGTGTAATCAGCATATTACTGTATGTAAGTCTCACTGGGGCTCTAAGAGCAGCTATACTATTATCTCTCTTCTGCAAGGAAACTGAAGCTCAAGGGGCTTAAAGACACGCCCCCCCCCCAAGTGGCTGAGCTGGGATGAAGCAAGGGGTCTGTGTCCAGTCTCTGTACACTTTGTTCTGGGATCCCCAGCAGACCCCAGTAGTGGTGCTGGCCTGGCTTACTGGGTTAGATCCCAGGACAGAGGTCTGAAGGATGCCAGGGTCCCCTCCCCATACTCCCCCACTCACAGAGCACCCGCAGCTGATGGTCATCCTGCAAAAGCAGCCAGTCAGGACCTCCTTCCTGCTGTGCGGGTGTCGGGAGCCCCCATACAACCTATCAGGAAGGACCAGGCTCGGAAAACTCTCCTCCTTGGAGCGGTAGTAAGGGAGGAAGCCGCTGGGCGGTTCTGGGTCCTCAGGGAATGGCGCCTCTCTGATGTTCTGGTCCCTGCAAACCTCGGGCAGCGGGGCTGGCTCCTCCACAGTCAGGAGCTTCCCATAGGTGCGGAAGAAAGGCAGGTACTCCGAGGCCACCAGGGAGCCATGGGGGAGATCTAGGCTGCTGAGACGCTCACTGCCTCTGGAAGTGCTGGCCTGGAGGTGCTGGGACAGGGGCTCTGGGCTGTCCTCCTCCGGGAGGCTCTGGGAGACCGAGACCCAGAGCTCAGACTCACAGCTCTTCTGGGATGACTGGGAAGAGAAAGGGGTTCCACCTGTTATGGCTGCCCAGTTTCCCTGCCCCTGAGCGTCCTCCCCATTCCTGCTGACACTGGAGGTCAGAGGGGTCTTTCTTTCCAAAGTATAAACCTGAGTGCAGCTCTCCTTTGTTAGAACCCAGCAGGGGCGGCCAGCCATGACTAGGTTACCCAAGAGTCCTGAAGGATCTGGCCCACAAGCATCTGCATTCTGCCTTGTATCCCTCTCCACTGATCGCTCCACTCTCTACATACCGGTCTCCTTACCCTTCCTTGGTCACTCCAAGCTTGGTCCAGCTTTAGGGCCCATGCCCAGATCTGCCTTTCACCTATCAGTTCAGAGGAACCTTCCCAACCCCTGCCTCCCCTGACCCCTGCTTTGAGTCCCGACCATTTCCCCCCTCACATCTCCTACACTGGAATGTTCTTGCTCTGTGGTCTGCCTGTTCTGGTGTGTGGTGGTCTTGTCTGTCTGACGCTCCTGGCTCACTGCAGGCTGGGCTAATCTCCTAACTCTCACGCCATCTCAAATCCCCTTCATTGTCCAGTCCAGCCACACAGAACTCTTCGTCCTTCTCACTTGCCTAGCAGCCTCCTGCCACAGGGCCTTTGCTAATGCTCCCGCTTAGAATCCCTTCCTTCTCCCTCCCTGGTTGACAACTTCCGCCCTTGGCTCCAGGCCATTTCCATACTTCCCTGATTTAGCTGCATCACTCTGTTGTTGACTCCCACCACCCTGAGGCCCCTCACCCAGAGCACCCACCCCTCTGCTACAAAACATACATCTGCATGGTTACTTATTAATATCTCTCATCTCACTCGTTACAAATTCCACTGAGGCAATATCCATCTGTCTTCTGTATCCTCAGGGCCTAGAACAGCGCCAGCATAGGGCAGATTCCAAATATTGGAATAAAGGAAAGGAAGGCAGGAGGGAGGGAGAGAGGGAAGGAGGAAGAAAGAGAATATTAAACTGGGTTTGGCCAGGAACAAAGTCCTTACCAGACTCCATGTCATAGGAAGGAGAAAATACGTCTTGTGGGGAGGTTGGGGAGAGGAATGAGGAGTTACTTTCCAGCCCCAGACGGGACAGAGAAGCCCAGAGCACCTGTCAGTAACCTTTGTCCACCTCTGCCTCTCAGGATCAGGCCCAGAGCCCATGGGTACATGGGAAGGTCTGGGGGTACCCTCTGGACTCTGGGTCCCACAGGAAGGGACTTATGGTCTGGCCCTCCTCTTCTCAATCCTTGATGGGGCCTCTGGGCTTGAGTTTCCCTCCCCGACCTCATGTCATGTGGTCATGCTGGTCCTAACTTCTTATGTGCCTGGCCAGAGTAATCCCCCCTGGAAGCCCTAACCCTGGAGAAGAGTCCAGGGCCCCACAGACTGAGAGCTCCTGAAGAGCAGAGATCAGGCCCCCTCCCCCTGAGTGCTGGTGCCCAGTTCAGCACCACCTGTGCTACGTTTCTGCCCCTCCCCAGACACCCCATGGACCCTGTGCAATCCTCTCTCAGGCCAGACACAGGAGCCCTGTCCCAGCTTTGCTGGGCCTAGGAAATAAGATGGGCTAGAGACGGTGCCAGAGTTTGAGGCGAAGTACACCCTACTCCAAAGCCGTGACCTATGTAGTATTGTGGTCTGAACTGTGTCCCCCATAAGATATGTACCCGTGGTCCCTGGGAATGCAGTCTGTTTTGGAAATAGTCTGTGCAGATGCAATCAAATTAAGATGAGGTCATACTAGATTAGGGTGGCCCTAAATACGACGACTGCTGTCCTTAGGAGGGAAGTGTGGACCCAGACACAGGGGGAGCATCCTATGACGCTGGGGGTAGAGACTGAGATGATGCTGCCACAAGCCAAGAGCTCCCAGGGAGCGCTGGCTGCCAGGAACTGTGAGGGGCAGGGAGCACATTCTCCTTGAGCCCCCGAGAAGGAGCCTGCCTTCAGAACTGCGCGAGAAGATATCTGTGCTGTGTTAAACCATCCAGTTTGTGGTGACCCCAGGACACTCACACACACAGGTGGGTCACAGGGCTGGTTGTATGGGCAAAGGGATTCGACACAAGAACGAAGGTTGGCAGGGCTCTCCGGGCACTACCTCGTGAGCAGCTTCTGGAGAGAGGCCCATCTAGGACTGCGGCGTCCCTGCAGGGGCTGGGTCCCCCGAGGCCTTACCCTTTCTGCCATCCTGTGGCGCTGGCCCAGCGGCTCTCCCACACCTGAGTCGTCCCTGCCTGGGCCCTGGATCTGCTTCACCCATGGGTTCTGGATTGAAGGAGACTGGGTACGCCCCACCTACTCTCCAGAGGGGCTAGGCAAAGCGGCCTGTGCCCAATGCCACATATGCTATCCCTTGGGCCCCGCCTCTGGCATCCATTCTGGACCCAGCGGTAACCCCATTTTGTGACATGATCAAGGCTAATCTTCAAACTCTGGTGAGAAAGACAAAGCTGCCCTTGGCGGGTCCCTTCCTCCTGGCCTGCTCTTCAGCCTGGCGAATCCCCCTCTGCCTGTCAGAGAAGATTCTACCATGAAGTCACAAGGCCTGGTGCCAGTCAAGAAAGCCAGATGGCTCTGTTACCACGGAGACTCCAGCTCAAGCGCCCAACACCTGTGATCCTCACCTGCTTCTAATTCCACTTAATCCAGATCTCTCCAGAGACTTAGGGGAAACAAAGGACAGGCAGGCATCTTCAGGAATGAGGTCAGCTCTCCACGATAGGGCCAGTGAGCTCGCTCAGGGATCTGTGCCAGGAGAATCAGAGAGGGCCCAGCACCGCCCCTGGAAGCTGAGGAGGGGTCCCAAGGATCCATGCTGTCACCGAGGGCTGTCTGGACTTCTCCTTCCCCAGGGGCCGTAGTCCCCTCAGGTCTCTGCTCTTGCCTCCTCTCCTCTATGGGTCTTCCCCAGTCACTCGTGAGCACCAAGTGAGAGGGGCTCATGCTGAACGCCCACTTTCCCCCTCGGAGCCACCACCCCCAACTTCTGTCCCCAGCTGATGCTGCTCTTCCGAGGGAAGAGACCAGCATTTGTTGTCAGCTACCACGCTGGGTGTTCTCCACATGCTATCCTCACTACAGCCCTTTGAATCAGGAATGGTACCACTCTGGGGCCATGTTTCAGTCTGGGGAGCTGAAGTTCAGCACTGGGACGGCCTTCAGAGGTAATCCTTAGCCCTAGGGCTGGAGACAGGAGAGCCCCGACACACTGCCCAGGGCCACGAGACCCGGCTATCTCCAGGACCTCAAGCTTCTCCAGTGCAGGATTCCAAGCACAGGGTGACCCAGCCAGGTTCCTCCCTCACCCCCATCCTGGGCCATGAAAGCCTTCTTTTCTTTTTTGATAGACATAACCCTTTAATCCACATGGAATTTATTTTTTGTAAGTGGTAATAGGTAAGGCTCTAATTCTATTTTATATTTTCAGTTACCTATGTTGATGCGACATCATTTATGAATGATGTATTTCTCCACTAACCTGATTTGAAATACCAAAGTAACTGCCTTCGAAATTCTTAACTATTGTAAACTCAAGTCAGTTTCTCCAGTTTATTGTTCTGTCCCTCTCTTTGTCTCTCTTGCTGCCAATACCATATTGTCTTGAGCTTTTTAGTTTTATCATAATTATAATTCATGATACAGTCATATTTTTATTATTTTTAATTTATTTATTGGAGGGAGTGAGCGAGTGAGGAGGAGGAGGGGCAGAGGGTGAGGGAGAGAGAATCCTGAGCAGACTCCACACCAAGCATAGAGCCTGACATGGGGCCTAATCCCATGACCTTGAGACCACAGCCTGAGCGAAAGCCAAGAGTTGGATGCTTAGTGCCTCAGGCTACGCAGGTGCCCCCATTATAGGGACATATTTTTAAAAAATCAGCTTTTCTGAGGTCTAGTTTACATACATCATAACATGTATCATTTACAACCTAAAAATCCACATAACAACCCCAAAATTAATATACAGAATTGCCTCTCTTCAGGTAGTCCCCCACCCCGGCCTCCCAGCCCCAAGGAACCAAATGACTTATCTGCATTTTGATGCCATAGATTAATTTTGTCTGTTCTAGAACGAACGGAATCTCACAATCTGTACTTTTGTGTGTGGCTTCTTTTACTCAATATTTCCTTTTTAAGACTCATCCATGCATTGGTGTTCTGTTTGTGCCTTTCTACTGAGGAGCAGGACATCACTGTATGGTATAACAAGATTGGTTTATCCACTCATCAGTGTACAGACAGTCCAGGTGCTTCCATCATCAATAAAGCTGCTATGAATGGTAATGTACAAGACTTTGTGTGGGCATAGTTTTTGTTTCTTTTAGGTTGATACCTAGGATTTGAATAGCTTGGTCATATGAGAAGTGTATAAAAAACTGCCAAACTGGGGCACCTGGGCGGCTCAGTTGGTTAAGTGACTGCCTTCAGCTCAGGTCAGGATCTTGGAGTCCTGGGATTGAGTCCCACATTGGGCTCCCTGCTCAGCAGGGGGTCTGCTTCTCCCTCTGACCCTCTCCCCTCTCATGCTCTCTCTCTCTCTCTCAAGTAAATAAATAAAATTTTTAAAAAAACTTAAAAGAAAAAAACCTGCCCAACTGATTCCAAAGGTTGCACCATTTTACATTCCCAGCAGCAATGTGGAAAAGATCAAGTTGCTTTCCATTCTTGCCATCACTTGAAAATTTTGCCATTCTAGTGGGAATGTACTGGTGTATCATTATGGTTGTAATTCGCCTTGATGACTAATGACATTGAGCATCTTTCCCTGTGCATATTTTCAATTTATATACCTTTTTAAGTCTTTTAATCTTTTGCCCATCTTTATTGTTCTAATTAATATACAACAAGCTGCAGATATTCAAAGTATATAATTTGACCAGTTTCCACATATGGACACACTTGGGAAACCAAGTGTACACAATCAGAACAACAAATATTTCTATCAGTCCCCAAAACTTCCTCATGCCCTTTTGTAATCTGTCCCTCCCTTTCTAGGCAACCACTGACCTGTTCTCTGTCACAGCAGTATTCTATATTTTCTACAGTTTTACATAACTGGAATCATACGCTGTATATTTTGTCTTCTTTTACACAGCATAATACTTGTGAGATTCCTCTATGTTTTTGCATGTACCAATAGTTTGCCCCTTTTTTATTACTGAGTGCTGTTTCATTCTATGGATATACGATGATCATTAGTCCACTATATGTAGTGGGTCATTTTTTTCTAGATGTTTTGATATTTTTCTTGTCTTTCATTTTCTGTCATTTATAATGTGTCAAGCCATGGTTTCCAATGACCTTATCCTTTTGGGGGTTTGGAGAGCCTCCAGAATCTGTCAACTTACATCTTTCACCAACCCTTGAAAGACTTTATTTCATCAAATATTTTTCTGCAGTTGATTTTTCCTCTTCTTCTGGTATTCCAGTGACACCTCTGAGGAGCAACCTAGCCCCTGTTTCTGCTTTTCCACCCTGAGGGGCATGGACTCACCTGGGGACTAGTCCACAGAATTATTTGGACAGGGCCGGGGGCTGGGTGTAGGAACCAAGCTGCAACAGCAGTGGGAGTTCTTGGTGACTCTTGTGAGCTGGGAGTTCTTTCTGCCCCTTCTTGTGCTCCTTTCTGTGGCTCTTGCGCCTTCCCCATGTTTGTGACCCTAAGCAACCATCTGTCCCTCTCCAAGCCACAGCTTCCCACCTAAAGTCACATGGCAGAGTGGACAGGGAATCCTTGGGCGCTCTCCTCCCTGCAGTGGCTCTAGGACCTCCCATGGTGGGGTCAGATCTCCATCTGCCTCCCCTTTCTGACGCGCCTGTGCCCAGTCCCCCAGGACTGCCTCCTTCCTGTTCCATTTCACCTCCAAGACACCTTCTCCACAGAATTAAAAAAAGAAAAAAATTTAACTTAACAAATTTTGTTTAAAAATGTAAATATCTTTCCCATGGGTCCCTGAAGCTCTTCTCATTTTTTCTGATTTTCTTTTTTCTCTGTTCTTCAGAGTATGTAATTTCCATTGATCTATCTTAAAGTTTATAGGGTTTTTCCACCTCTCATCATCACCAAGCTGCTACTGAAATCAGTAAATTTTTAAATTTCTGATTTTGTATTTTTCAGTCAGCATTTCCATCTGGCTCTTTTTTATAGGTGCTATGTTTCTGTTGAAAACGTCTATTCTTTTATTCATTCCAAATGTGTTTTTCTTGACCTATGGAACATGGTTATAATAGCTTCTTTGAAGTCTTTGTTTGATAATTCCAACGCATGGGCCACCTTAGGGTTGGCATTCATTGTCTTTTCCCTGGAGAACTGGCCACATTTTCCTGGTTCTTTATATCGTGGGTAATTTTGATTTGTCCCAGACATTGTGAATGTTATGTTGTATAGACTTTGGGTCTTGTATACAATCCTCCCAAGAAATCTATATTTTTGTTTTAGCAGGCAAACAACTGGGTTAATTAGGTTCAAGCTCCATGCTCTGCCTTGCCTTCCATATGTAGTGATCCAAACCTAAGTTCAGTTCAGTCCTTGAGCATGCACTATTTAGTGATTAAGCGAAAAAGATGTGTGAACATGGTTTAAACCTCAGCTTGGTTTTCTTTTCTTTTTTTTTTTTTTTTTAAGATTTTATTTCTTTATTCGTCAGAGCATAAGCAGGGGAATGACAGGCAGAGGGGGAAGCAGACTCCCTCCTGAGCAGGGAGCCCGATGCAGGACTCAGTCACAGGACCCTGGGATCATGATCTGAGCCGAAGGCACACGCTTAACCAACTGAGCCACCCAGGCATCCCATCAATTTGGTTTTCAAAGCCTTGCTGTTCTGGTTTGGGTCTGTCTCACTTACGCATAGTTCAGAGGTTAGGCTGAGATTGGTGAGTACTACATTACAGAATTAAGGCACCACTTTCCTGGTTCTCTCTCTCTCCTGGATTCCTCCCACACTCTTTGTCCTCCCTGGCCCCCCATTCAGCTACGGCTGCCTTGCTGCTGTCCAAGTGGAACTTGCCCCTCTGGGCAAAGCTGAGAGACTGCAAGAGACCAAGATAGCCAGAGAGAAAGAAAATGGGCCGGGGAAAATTCCCCCCTACATGGATCACTTGTCTAAGTGTGGTGTCTCCACAATCTGCTCCTATTTAATTTTTAGAGTTCTCTTGTAATTGATTTTTGTGTTTGGCTCAAGGTTTTTAGTTCTAATCAGTGGGAGGAGTAGACTAAGTGAGCTTATGCTACCATGTTAGCACTGACACCTCCTTTCCCCTATTTTTAGTAAGGTTTTTTTGTCTTCTTACTGCTATACTGTATGAGCTCTTTATATCTACTTTATATCTTTATATCTTTTGGATACAGCTCCTTTGTCAGACATATCTGTTGTGAA